TTCCCTCTGAGATCTTTCAACGTTTTCCTCTGCCCACGAGTTGTATTTCCTTCTCAAACTCCGAGTCGAAGTTGTCGTTGGTGGTGGGTGTCCCAAGTTTGCGGTAGTGCTCTACTAGTACTTCCCTCTTTCCTTTAGAACTGCTTACCATCTTACCCTCGGCAGATCTTAGTGTCGTTATTTCCGTGTCTCCCCCTCTTTTCTTGCCCACTATCCCTTGAATTCCTACCCACATTTGCTTCATCCCCCCCTCAAAATCTTCGTTAGTCTTTTGGACTACTTCCTCCCACAACCCTTTCTTCTTCTTCACGACCAACTCCTTCACCCTCTTTCTACTTTCAACATACTCCTTCCATCCTGCATCTGTTTTCCCTGCCGCATATTTTGCGTGTGACTCTCTACGTACTCGAATTGCTTGCTTGATTTCTTCGTCCCACCACTTCACTGCTCTCTTACAAACTATCAACTTTCTACCTAGAACTCCGCTTGCTGTTGTGTTTACCAGCTCTTCCCACCCTTCTATGATTCTAGACCCGGCCTGGTCCCGGCCTTCGGCATCCTTCGGTGTACCCATTGCCTCCATCAACTCCGAGAGTTTCTTGTCGTTTATAGCCATCTCTTCTTGGAACTCTACCCTCGTTTCTTCTACTTCTAGCTGGTGGTGGAGGGGGGGGGGGTACTCTGATTGAGGGGGGTGATGTCACCCATAGCGATGGATGCCGTAGTCGTTAGAACATTGACGTCCTCGGACCCCTATACAAAGCCGGGACGGAGCGATACGCCGGGTTGGAACACCACGGCAAAGAATGTTGAGATTGAGGGCGGGGGGTACTCATCGCCATGCATGCGGTTGTAGTCGTTAGAGCATTGACCTCACATTCCTACAAAATCGGGACCACGGAGCGGCATGCCGGGTTCTCGCTCGGCCCGGGCTATCTACGTTTCACAAAGCATGAACCAGAAGCTGGTCTCATTCATTGTCCTTCCTGGCGGTTGTTGTGCGAATCCCGGCTAACCAATCATTTCACATTCGGCAGACACGACAAATACAGTTCAACAAGAGTCCCGGGATTGAGTTGTACCGCGATTGAGTTATCGTTACGAAGTCGGTCGCCTCAAAGTCGAGGACCTCCGTTTTTTTTCCACCCGAAGGGGGGCTAAGCGCAGAAAGGCCCGGAACCAACCGGCGCCGTTCACTGCTCGCTAGACTCCGTGTCCAACGGATGGGATCATATGGTGTCATCCCTGCGAGATACCGCAAGAGGCCGAGGGGTGGTAATCCTCCTAGACCAGATTTGTTTTCAAAGCCCGATTGCTCCACAACCCAAGCTTGCTTGTGCCCAACAGCAAAAATGGTGCTTTAGGAAACATCTCGTCGGGGGCCTCCCGTAGACGCATCGGGTTCTTTCCGAAACCCACTTGGTTGTGGGGGCAATCGAGACCTCTTGTGAAGTCCGTCCGGGCGGGGTTGACATCTCGCCGTCTCTTACGGTAGACTCGTCGGGCAGACACTACAGTACACCATCTTCGTTTCTCGCAAAAAGGGGGGAGGGGGGTTCGGGGGTGCCCGGCACTGGGTACGGGTCTACGGAGATCTAGAGGGCTTCGTGAATCATTGGTGGCGTGGGTTTTGTTGGTAGGAGGTTGATCCCCCTTCTGCGTGCAACGGGGCAAGCCTGCCCGGAGCACCAGTAAATGATAAAATGTCAACCTTCTTCTCTCTGCGCGTCTCAAAAACAAGCTGCCCGCCTCCAAAGCAGTGAGGCTCACCTCCATGGTGCTGAATCCACCGCAGAAATCTTCCGGGTGGGCCTGAAGGGACATACGTAACCATGATTTAACAACGAGGGCGGCACAAAAAAAAAAATCTGACAAGTGAATGCCCCCGAGGGCGCTAAGCGGACTACTTTTCGGGCATACTTGTACTGCATGGGGTTGGCCTGAAGGGACGGGACGTACGTGACAAAAACATGCAAGACGAAATGAGAGCGAAACGCCTTGCTTCCAACCTATGGGAGACGACAAACCAAGTAAGTCAAAGCGGGCTGCTCTGTTCTTCGCTTACATCGCACAGGTACTCGCAACTAGAAATGCAAGCGGCAAAGAAAGACCAAATTTCTGAAAAATGAATGTTCCCAAGAGTGCAGGGCGGATCTTTCTTTCCCGGCGTACATAGCAGCTGCACATGGTGAAACCGACGGCTTGTTGTCACACCCTTGGCTGGGAGACAACGAATCAAATCAGTCCGCCATAAGATGGGTTGCTCTGCTCGTCACTTACATGGCACAGGTACTCGCAGTTGTCGGAAGACAGCGATCCGTGCTTGGCGTAGTCGGCAGTGGACGGGCCGCAGAAGCACTGGTGGTATTGTTGAGGTTCGGGCGTAAAAACGGAGAGAACGGCAAGCGTAAAAAGAAGTCCACCAACACGGTGGCCAATCATCATCCCACGAGGACAAATAACAAGAGTTGGCGCGTTCTGCATGTTAACGCCAGCTGCCAGGTCTGGAAAGGGAGACCCATCAATCGGGACGGACAACTGCCGACCGCATGACTTCATAATATGAGAGCTATCTATCTACTGACCGGGGCTCTTGAACGAGTTCAATGTTGATATATGTACCTCCTACATGCAAAAGTATAGGTTTTCGGATGGATTTATAAGGTCGGGTTTAAGTCTGCTTCCCTCACCTGGAAGGAGTTTTGCACGCCGGAGAAGGTGGAGCCCAACGTCTTGCAGTGGGAAGCGCAGATCTGCGCGCAGACCGACAGCCAGACAGCCAGATAGACAGATAGACCAATGGAGAGAGCAGGCAAGGGTTTGTTGCACAGGAAGGGAAGAAAATATTTCTCTCAAAAAAGCAAAGTGTCGGTACAGTGGGTAGAGCTGTGCACCGGTTTGGTGAGAACCGAACCGGGTACCCGGGCGGGTACCCGGTTCCGGGAACACACGGCCGGTTCGGTTTCACCAGTATGGAACCGGGTATGTATTTGGTTGTGATACACTGCACCCCCAAAGAAAGGCATATCCATTCCCGGCGCCCCTTTTTGGTGGCACGGTGCCCCCAAAATCGACCTCACCCGGGTACGTACCCGGTTCCTACCACGGTTCCAATTTTCTAACCCGGAGCACAACTCAAACAGTGGGCGGGGGTAGATCCTCGATAACGAACGCCAGTAGGTGCCAGGCAGGCGAGTCGACCGGCGCGGTTCAGGCGGCGATAGGTTTCAACGCACGACTCGGTGGCTGAGTCTGTGGCCAGAAATGTCACCGGCCGTACACACAGGGCCACCGGTGGCGCTACTCAACCGGTGTTGTGGAGGGGCCCTGCACGACATACATGTATCGATCATTGTTGCAAGAAAAAACGAGCTGGATAAGGCTACTTTAATGTTGTGCGTCGGGCCAGCCACTACCAGAAAAAACGGTTGCTCACCGGCCGTGTGGTGGAAAGGAAGCCTAGCAGGAGCTGAGACAAACAAACGAAAACCATCCCGCACGCACCTTTGCCATACACAAATCAGTAGCCCTCATATCCGTCCGAGTATTGGAAACAACAGACCCACCACACACAACAGTAGTACGTAAGAAGTGTGTCACGACAGGTCAGGCGCGAGCAACCCAGGCCAAGCTATCATACACGCGTGGGGACAAGCCAAAGCACGACATCATGGGTACCGAGCGCCCACAGCCGCCGTAATCCGAGCACGTGGCTGAGACTAACTGGCCCTTTCGGTTTTAGCATCCTCCTTTCTCGGCAACTGGCTTTTGGAAGACAAATACGTGTGCGAAGTCTTCCATGTGTGCAACACACACACACACACACACGAATCACGGCGGCAAGGATAAAACTGTACACCAACGCCGGGGAGGTCGGTATGTCTGCGTGTTTGCGATATTTCTGCAGACCAAGATAACAGGAACCGGAAGAACTGGTACTCGGAAAAACTGGACGTCTCCTCGGTAGCATATTACAACAAGCGGGTGAGTCGTTGTTTGTTGGTTTCGAAGGCCTCACGTCCAAGAGAGGGACTGGCAGCGCCCGAACCCTTGAGATGGTGAGCCCTTGAGATGGTGAGCCCTTAGATGGTGATCTCTCAACACACTGTGCCCCAAATTGGCTCCAGTTGTGCCCTCGTACAAAGGAGAGAAACATCATGGAAGAAGCGTCTCGAAAAATAAATCGGGTTGTCAGCCACATGAGGGTGAATGAACAAACTCACCGCAGGGCTCATGGCAGACTGTCCCGAGCAGCAATTGCTATTGACGTCGGCTTCGGTGGGCAGAGCGCGGTCGTTAACATCGTCGGCGAAGCACCCAAGCGACTGAAGTCCGCCGTTCCCCCGTCGCACGCACGCACGCACGCACGCACGCACGTAAAAAGGTGTTTTTTTTCACGCGTCAGCAGAGAAACACAAGAGAATGGGTAGGGAGGACGAGGAGGAGGAGGAGGAGGAGGAGGGAAGCGTGTGTCGGGTGAGGTTCCAATAGGTTCGATACACATCAACCAGTATTTCTAGGCTGCCCTTCGAGGTGGCGTAGGCAAGCGTGTTGATTGCGCTCGTGTTGTGGGTGAAGCCCACAGACGTTCGATACACGCCAACCTGTTTCTAAAGGCTGTTTGAAAAGGCGGCCCACAGTAGAGCACCACATCAACAACAGAGTCCGTTATTGTGTATGATCGAAAATTTGACTTCTCCACGCGCACGCATCCATCCTTCAACACTGTTACATATCTCCCAGATTGTCACTTCCTTCAGGACTGATCGATCGCTTGTTTTGGTGCTTTTCGGTCACACTCAAGCAGACGCACAGGCAGACTCACGGTGCATGAAACTCAACAGCACACGACCCGACTACGACGAGCAAAATCATCAGGATGAAACCACGAACGAATCCCCTCTGCGTGGCCCGGAAAAGCAAGCAAATAAGAAGGCGAGATAATGCACGTACATGGATTTCGCTCTGGCCTTTTCACCGCACGGGGGTGGGTGCGACATCACCGATCCCCGTGCGACAATCGAATAAACAACTCCATTCGACACTGAACGTTGGTCGCGCCGCGGGGGTGCGATATCACCGAAACAGCAGTACGTGCGGTATCACCGAACCGTGCGTTCTCTCCCATCGCTGCGGTGCGTCACGACCTACATCTATGCCTCGTCGCAAGGGCCTACGAACAGGCACAGCCACCTAATGAGGCGGCCTCACTAGGCATGTCAGGGGGGATATTCATAAGGGGAAGGTTAAGGGGGTCCCAAGGAGAGTGTTTATTTCAGGAAAAGACCCACACCATCATGGTGATTGTGCCCCCTCACAACCCCTTGTTTGATTTTTTGGGCGGCGGGGGATTTCCGGGGGATTCCCCCAAAAATGGGGAGATGGGTTTCACGGGGGGGGGGGGGGGGAGGGGGGTACGTACCTCGTAGGCGGGCAAGTCCTCTGCCTGGTCCAGGCAGATGGTGGCGCACAGGTTGCCGCAGGGCATGGGGTAGATGTTGTGATTGTAGTCGAGCAGCATGATCTCACCCTGCCAAAACATCAAGAAAGCGCCAAACAGCAGCAGAAGAATCGATGAGCATAACCGCTCACAAGATGCGTAAAAACGAAAGGGAATGAATTGCGATGACGTCCATCAGCTCCTCAGGCATACCCCCGGTTCGTTGACTTTCCAACCCAGCCAAATCATTCTGGACGACAAGGCGACCACATGACTGCTGCTTGTTGGAGATTAGATAGTACAAACAAACAAGCAGACAGTCAACCTTAGTTAAGCGAAAAAAACAAACATCACCACGTGTCCCCTTACTACATTGTTGAAGGAAAACATGAACAGCACGTGTTCGCTCCTTACGCTGGCATCCTTTACCTTGATGGAGAAATTGCAGCACACGTTTGTTCGAATATTTTGTTCACGTTGATCAACTATCTTGGGCGAAGGTGTCGAATGATCTGCACGATATTGCAAGCCAAAAACAAACCATCCGTCCCCGAAACTGAAAAACAAGAATACTAAATGAACGGTTGTCATACATCTATTTCGTCTTGTTTTCGAAGGAAAGGCATCAGCAACAGCAGCAAGTGTGTTCGTTCGCTTCTTACGTCGGCATCCTCCGCAAAACTGATGATCTGTATGCTCGCGTCGCTGATGATGGTCCCGACCGCCCATCCGCCGTCGTCCTTTTCCTTAAGGAAGTAGATGTTGCTGGACATCCAACAACAGAACGCCAACAAAACAAATGGTGGAATATGTGGAGATCACCTTCACAAAGGGTACAATATCCCAACGTCTAACGATTTATTCTTTCACAAAGACATAGAAACTACAACTACACGAAACGGTGACGAGAGGACGAGTCAATCGAGCTGAAGGAGTGGTGAAACTCGGGGCATCCGCGGGGTTAATTGTGCGCATGCATGCATGTCCCCCAACTGAAAATTGTATCAACGCTGAAGTATCGTCGACGTTATCATCATCAGGAGGAGGAGGAGGAGGAGGAGGAGGAGGAGGAGGAGGAGGAGGAGGAGGAGGACCTAGGAGCCAAGTCCTTCCCAGCAACAACGATTCGAGGTCAATGGTCCAACAACTACGGCATGCACGGCTATGGGACTCCCCCCCCCTGCCCTCTCGAGAGAACGCGTTGGCAATGGTTTTAACCGCAAAGGCACGCAAAGCATGAGAGTACACCCCAACGGCGATTATTTTCCCCGTGGGAACAACGGAGAGGACGCGAGGCCACCAATGGTCTACCGGCAACACGGAATCGTACGCACCCCGCCCGGTGTTTGCCATCGGGGTTGGGTTTCGTCGCTTGGCAACGACGTTGTAAAACAAGCCGCCCCTCCTCCCCCCCTCGGTGTTTGCCATCGGGGTTGGGTTTTCGTCGCTTGGCAACGACGTTGTAAAACAAGCCGCCCCCCCCGGTGTTTGCCATCGGGGTTGGGTTTTCGTCGCTTGGCAACGACGTTGTAAAACAAGCCCCCCACTCGGTGTTTGCCATCGGGATTGGGTTTTCGTCGCTTGGCAACGACGTTGTAAAACAAGCCAATTCACTTCGTGAACTCGACAACCAGGTTACCGTTTGTTTTTTTTTACCTCGGTTTTTTTTTTTGGCGGTAACCATAATGGTGGTCGAGTAGATCATGTTGTGCGGGGTCGAGAACCCTCACTCCGCGCAACGGGGGATGATCGCACCACGTTGTGTTAAAATGGTCAAGCTTCCTCGAGGCAGTTACACAGTGCTTACAACTGTCTCTGGAAGTGAAAGCACCAGAAAATAAATTAAGTCATACGTAGCTGTCATCCGTACGCAGGGAAGTAAGCACAAGATGCCGAACACCCTTAGCAGGATGCAGCTCACCCTTCATGCGACTCGCCAAATACGTCACGGCGCTTCGCGCTTGGTGATGTGAGAGCCTGGTCCGGTGAGAACCCGGCGTGCTCCGTCCCGGCTTTGTAGGGATGCGAGGTCAATGGTCAAACGATTAGGGCATGCAGGATTATGAGTACACCCCCCCCCCCCCCACCCCCTGGTGTTTGTCATCGGGGTTGGGTTTTCGTCGCTTGGCAATGACGTGATGATCGCACCACGTTGTGTTAAAATTGGTCAAGCATCCTCGGGGCAGTTACACAGTGCTTACAACTGTCTCTGCAGGTGAAAGCACCAGAAAATATAGTAAGTCATACGCAGCTGTCATCCGTACGCAAGGAAGTAAGCACAAGATGCCGAAACACCCTTAGCAGGATGCAGCTCACCCTTCATGCAATTCGCCGAATACCTCACGGCGCTTCGCGCTTGGTGATGTGAGAGTCTGGTCCGGTGAGAGCCCGGCGTGCTCTGTCCCGACTTTGTAGGGATGCGAGGTCAATGGCCTAACGACTACGGCATGCACGACGCCGAGTACACCCCCCCCGGTACCTCATGGTTCTGTCCCCGAAGATATAGGCGCCGCCCAAAAGGTCAGAGAAAATATTTCCGCGATACATGTAGCCCCCGATAACGCAGTTCCTCACCACAAACCGGTTCCCGCAGGTGTCGGCGCCTCCGGTGAACTTCTGCTCGTCCGCGTCTGTGGAGTCGAAGTCCGGGTGGCAGTACTCGAAGAGCGGGAAGGTGAAGCCCGACCGGCTTATGCCGTCGCAAGGGGGGTTGAACTCGTTGTCCTGAACGGCCTCCTGGCAGCGGGAGCCCTCGAACCTCGACCACCCGTAGTTGTTGCCGCACCTGTACAGGTCATCGTCGTCAAGTTCGAGAAAGAAAGGAAGGCGAGGTGGGTTGGCGGGTGGGATGATCGTTTCACTTCACCACAGTAGTTGTGGTTATTGGTACACCCATGTTCGCCACAGGTACACCAGAAAGAAAAAATGGCGCGAGTTGGGGTGGGATGGTTGTTTCACTTCACCACAGCAGTAGTTGCTGTTGGCACACCTAATGATACAGGTCGTCGTCAACATGAAGGAAACAACAGCCAGTTGAGTTGGTGGGGAGGGGCGGTTGTTTAATTTCTCCAGAGTAGTTGCTGTTGTTGTTGCACATGGGTGTCGTCGGCGTCGTCAACATAAAAAGAAAGAATATCAAGTTGAGTTGGTGGGTGGTGAGATGATTGTTTCGTTTCACCAGAGGGAGGAACAGTTTCGGCGAAAGGGAGCTTTCTTCACGTCAGCATCGTCGCCATCTACGGCCAGACGGACGGAGGGAGGCTGCTGCTGACACCATGGACGGTAGTTCACTGCGGGACGAGATACAGCAGAAGAGTGGAGAAAGGGAGGGGAGAAGGGGGGTGTCCCAATTCGAAACGCGAAACTTGCGTATGTGCGCTCGGCCATCGTCGCAGCCACCAAGCCCCGCGAAGCGATGGCCACGAAAACAAGACGACAAGCCACGCTCCTGGCTGTCGCTGCCGTCCCTCCCTAACTAACTCACCGCAGAACAACATCGATAGGCATATGCATGCATGAGAGCGTCGTCCCTCCCTAGCTAATCCACCCCACAAGATCGTAGGGATGATGCGCTGAGAGACCCTCCCTCCCCAAGTCGACTGCTGTTGCCGTAGCCTGTGCTTTGCGGCGAAGGTCGATAGGCAATGCATGAATGATGGTAACGTGTGTCTCTACATAGCTGTCTATCTCTCACTCGATGAAGTTGATCTCCTCGACCGAGATTTGTCCGACGTCACCGCAGTAGAGGTCGTCGTTCAAGCGGTCGAAGCTACACCGCCACGGGTTGCGGAGACCGATGGCGCAGATCTCGGCCTTTGCTCCTGGTGAATCGTCACGACAGGAAAACAAAAACGGAACGCGAGGGGAGGGAAAGGGTAACACGTGGTGAATGCCTATAGAAAGCAGCAGCTAAAAAAATCACGGACCAACACGAGGTGACCAACTTGGAGTGATGCTACCGCTACGGTAGGGGGGTCATAACCTCATGAGTTTCACCCTCTCGGCTAGGGAGACAGACACACGTTTCGATGTACGATCATCGCCGAAATACGACCAAAAGTTAAAGAGATTTCACCCCCAAAAGTGCACCCCCCCTACCGTAGCACCAGGCGAGGGCGTAACATGGATGGGTACAGAAAAAATGACGGGGGCAGAGTAAGAAATATAATCAAAACAAAAATGAAGGGGACGAAACAGACTAGATCTGCCGCGATGCTATGCAACTGACTCCAAGAGTGCTTCACGTTCCTCTCCCTCCCTCCTTCCCTCTCCCCCCCTCTCCCCCTCTCTCGGTGTCTCTCTCTCTCTTTCAGTTGAGAGAGACGGGCATCATCATGGCGCCCGCAAGCTGTTTAGATCGACCAGTTGTCCTACACGGCGTACAACAAGCAGGTTCATCTCAATAGACTCTCTCTCTGTCTCTCTCCCTCTCGTCTCAACAGTCGAGACGGAAATATGTTTCGATCGGCCGTCGTATGCCGTATCCAGCAGATTTTTTTTTTCTGAAAGTTTGTTGTCGATGATGTCGTACAGTATATCATGCACGGAATAATTCGAAACATCTCCCGAATCTACGTACGTATATGTTTGAGTTCTTGTTGGGCCGCCATGGAGGCGTGTTGGTTCGGATGTCTTGGTTTGGTTTTCTCGGGCCTGTCTGTGTTTTAGTCGGTCGTCTTACAACCAGTAGGATATTTTGCAGTTCATTCCATTCCGTCCCGTGCCAAAACACGAACAAACCGTGGTAGTTCCCGGGGGGGATGGTGTAGCCGGTGCCGTCCTGGCTGTGGTTAAAAGGGTCCGTCTGCGGTCCGCCATCGCCGGTCGTCCAGTACAGGTCTTGGTACCCGGGCTACGGGAGCGTAGGGTTTCCGTTGCAAAAAATACCGGAAGGGAGGGGGGGGGGGGGTACTCCTTGCATGCCGTAATCGTTACACCGTTGACCTCCCATCCCTATAAAGCCGGGACGGAAGGGGAAATGGCGGGGGGGGGGGGGGGACCTTTTTTTGGCAAAAAATTTAAAAAAAGAAAGTTTTTTTCTCCAAACAAAAAAAAAAAAATGGGGGTTTTTTTTTTAAAATTCAAATTAAAATTTGGTTTTTTTTTTACCCGAAAACCCGGGGCCCGGGGTTTTGGAATTTTTATTTATAATTTGGGGGGTTCTTTCCGGGATGAGTTCCCCCAGGGGGCGTAACAAAAGCGGGGAAACGGGGGAAACTTACAAGGGCGGGAAACAACCGAAGGGAAACAACCGCCCCCTAAACCAATATCGGCGGCATTTTTAAAAAAGGGGGGGAGGGAAACGGGGCCAGGCTTTGGGAAATAACCCCGA